CAGACTTATCCCAGATCTTCCAGAGCAGCACAATTTAGCTGACCTGGTCAGAGCAGATTTTTTGGTTCTCACCTTGTTATTTTTTGAAGGTAGCAGGCCAGTCACATATGTCCCTCAGTGCGGGTTTGCCCAGTGTTTCCTCATGGCTAGACTCAGTTCATGCATTTTTGGCCACATGTTACAGGAGTGATACTGTGCTCTTCTCATTTTGTGCTATCAGTTTGTCCTGTCGGTGGTGGTGTTGACTTTGATCACTGGATTAAGATGGTGTCTGCCAGCTTTCTCCACAGTAATGTTCCTTTTTCCTCTGTGATTAATAAATATTTTATGAGCTAATACTTGGAGATTATGTAAAATCCAGTTCCTCATCTACTTTTACCCACTAGTTTTAGCATCCATTAATATTCCTTTCTTAGATTGCTTTTATGATGGCTGCCAAATGGTGATTTTTCTAACTTCATTACTCCTTCTACGTTTATTAGGAGGCATTCTAATGTAAGGAAAAACTTTCTTCCCCATTTATTTACTAATATAAATGTGTACTCATGGATTCCTATTTTATTCAATATGTTATAATTCATTGCCTTCATTATTTATCTTGATGCTCCTATTATTCCAGGTTTGGCTTTTTAGGCAGGCTTCTGTGTCCTTTTGTCATGTCATTTAAGCATTGTTTAAGCACTTTCTTATTTGCTGGCACAAGAGACCCAGGTTCATTTTCCTTCCCTTCCCCAGCTCTGGAATTGCCCATTTCTCTAGGAAGCCCTGTTTCTTTTAGTGGAGAGTGGTATTTTAAAACAATCATCTGGGTACGGGCCGGCCCAGTGGCTCACTCGGGAGAGTGCGGTGCTGATAACACCAAGGCCCCGGGTTCGGATCCCATATAGGGATGGCCGGTTCGCTCACTGGCTGGGCGTGGTGCTGACAACACCAAGTCAAGGGTTAAGATCCCCTTACCGGTCATCTTTTAAAAAAAAAACAAAAAAAAAAACTTTGCCTTCATTAGGAAGGTAGTGAGATAGTGAGAAAATCATCATAAGCAGGATGTTTATTTTGGTAAACATGCTGTGTATGTTTTGATTATTTTAATTTTTAATTACAATTTTTTCTTTTTGCAC